TTTCTTTCTTTCTTTCTTTCTTTCTTTCTTTCTTTCTTTCTTTTCTCTTTCTTACCAATGCTTTCTTCATTTCACCGTTTTACCTTATTAGCTCTTAATCTAGATCTTGATTTTTTTCGTCTCATGCACTCTTCTCATACCTTATAAGAAAAATCGCTCTGTCATTATTTGCTATAGTAGCTATCTTATTTGCTACAGTATAACAATACGTTTCCATGAACTAAATATGATTTTCATTGGGAGCCGTTTAATTTTAGCGTTTTGGACAGTTTTCTCAATGGGTTCTCATTAACAGGTTATTTTTAATGTGTCCCTATAAGTTCTTATGTTCTACGCCAAAGAACGTTTTGTAAGGCTACTTTACTTGTGAATAGGTTTTAAGGGCTCACCTGCGACCAAATGGGAATGTTTTGAGACTCCAGCATAAATACTCTAATAATCCGGCCATACCCGATGCAGTGTTACATCACGTATTTACACCCAAAACTAATGTCAGATGGTGGACAAGCTAAACTTCGTTTGTTATTACAGTAAAATGTTCAGTGATTATAAAGAGCACAGTACCAGAAGAGCTCACTAGATGAAAGAAAAATGGTCTAAACCGAAATATGTTTTCAATTGGTGCTTCCTATCTGTAAGACGTCTTTTCTTAATATTAAAATAAACTCTGTGAATTATGCAATCCATTACAGTTCGGCTTGGAACATTTACCAATTAACACTTAAGATGTTTTCTATAAATAGCAACATGATAAATCAAATTATTTTTTTCGCAATCTGGTAACCTAAAAACCGTGCGTTCTGATTGGCTGGCGAGCGGCTTGTCATTTTCTGACAGATAACCTTGATAGTGACTCGTGTGCGTAGCGATTCATTGCATTGCAGGCCTTCATACTAAATAAGCTAATTCCTTATTAAATAGTATTTCAAGTTCTCATTGTTGATTCTCTCCTTTGTTTTTAAGGTTTTCTCAAGGTTCTCTGGCTTTCTTCCCCATCGCATAAATCACGTTCATGGTTACGTCTGACACGAGTTCCTGTCCCAGGGCTTTGTACAACATTTAATCCAATTCGTGCGGCTTAAAATAGCGTTTCCTCATCGCGAATAGTTCTGACATTAATCCTTCGAGGTTCATGCATCATGACAGCCTCTCTTTGATCAATCATATTATTTATCGTTTGCGCTTGAATAACCGAAATATCTTGGCGAAAAAGACACCCGAACGATTTTCGTAATATTTTACGAAAGATTTTGTTAGTTACGCCATAAATTATTGGGTTGGTTGCACAGCTTACGTAAGCTAAATATACATGTATCATGTAGGACCATCGAGGAAGAGATCGAGAACCATAAATGGAGTTTAGCATTTCGACGATAATCGATGGTATCCAGCAAAGAATGAAGGCAAATACTACMGAAAATATAGTTTTTGTTACTCGAATTTCATCCACGCTTATTGACGGACAAAACGCTCCGGCATTCTGTGGGAAAACGGCCTTTTTGTGCGCGGACACGACCGTGTGGACTTTGTAGTAGCAAAATCCAATAACAGCCAAGGGGAGTATTGTATACACTAAGATATAGAATGAAATACATGTTCTACGAATGGCTGGAAAAGATGTGTTTAGTGTTAAGAAACATGCTGCTCTTGCTGGCCAGAATTCAAACTTGGCAAAACCAGCCAATATTGGGAGAAGAACAAAAACACCTGCTATGACGAAGACGGCAATAACCATCATGAGACAGCTCCGCTTTGTAAAAAGCCGTAGGTACAAAGATCTTTTAACAACACGAAAGTATCTACTAACAGCCATTAGGACCATGATGTGTAGCGACGACCAGGCGAGTACAAGGATGAAAAACCCTTGAAATTTGCAAATCCGGTTGTTGAAGTTCTGCCGAGATGTAATCAAAATATCCAGGGAAATAGGCATGATGAACGTCGCCATTAGAAGGTCTGATAAAGCAAGAAAAAACATGTACATACCGAAGAGGTTTCGTAGTCTTGGAGATCTGTGGATGACATAAAACACAGACAAGTTCCCAAAGATGGCGACCACCTCGATGAAAATAAGAATGGAAACTTCCAGAAATACTTGGAGCTTTCCTCTAGACATGAGTTCCGTTAAGTCTCTTGGTAGCGGAGTTCTGGTTCTATTGCTCATGCTTTTATTTCAACTACTGAATTGTAAAAATAAACTGACTCAAAACTCGCGAGCGAAATAAATCATAAATGAAAAGGATAGGAAGTTTTACCTTTAATGTTTCAGCGTAGAAAAAGATTAGTAAGGTGATCTTACTTTTGACTAAAAATATCGTCCACTCCAAGCAAAAGCCAAACAGACATTTATTTCCTTGTCTTTTCTTAAATACAGCATCGCCTTGCCTTAACATCTGGTGTGAAATAATCTTATTCGCCGACTTAATCCCTTCCATTATATCAACCAATATAACTTGTTTAAAATTAAACTGTCTTAATCCAAGGCCTTTGTATTCAGTTCCGATCAAGTCCGCGGCAGCAAAAAGGTTTGAGAGTCTAGGTGTAAAATCAAGAATAGATGATTGACTGTAATATTTAATCCAGCTGTACTTTAATTGGTATTTGTTGTTTATGGTCTTTGGATGTGTCAGTAAATTACGTAATGATTTGACATGATCGTATTATTGTAAAGAAACTTATTCTCTTGTCACTGTTCTATTGAAGACAATCATGAAATGTAATTGATATATACATGAGGTGAAATTCAGCACGATATCAGATATATTAATCCTATCCTATCCTATCCTATCCTATCC